CCGAATCAGAAACTGGGACCTAGCTCTCTATAGATTAATGAGACTTCCAGGGGATTTGGATCCTGAGTTTTAGGACCACTGGTATCGTGTCTTACCTAAGAGTCCCAGGGAGGAAGCCTCACTTAGTTCTCTGATCCACACACGGAGAACCTGTTCAGGGACACGTGGCTTGAAGCTATGGGGGTATCTTCCCAAGGAAGATGGGCTACCTACCTCCCACACTTCCAGTACATAATCATCATCTGGCCCCTGGCTTGGGAGAGGCCAGGGGAAGCTAGATTTGGAATCCATGACTGGTTCTTCATAAGCCCTTTGCTTCCAGAAGGTGCCGCAGGAATTCAGATGGCTCCAGGCATTGCCATAGCAACTGTACCTTTCTGAAGCTGCTACGACTACAGGAGCAGGGAGTAAGCTATGCAAAAGAGGGGGAGTCTGCCAGGGGATAAAACACGAGCAGCCGATGAGGGGGCTGTGAAAGTACATGGAAGCTGGGCCCGGCTGGGATTTCTGGACCTGAGCTTGGTGGAGCCACCACTTCCTCGAGATCCAGGCAGCATTCGGGACCTCTCTAGGGGTCTTCACAGCCACAAAACACCAGCCCAGGGGGCTGATGGTCTTGACAGTACCTGTCACTTCTTTGAAAAGATCCTCTACTCAGGTTAAATTCGAACCCTAAATGGTCACAGAGCAATTAAGAAAGATGCCCCCCCCCCGAACAAGGTGACACCTGTGTTCTAGGTCAGAGCTGAGCAAAGGGACCCGCTTCAAACTTCTGATAGGGACCCGCATTCCACCGCAGCCAAGGAGTCAGGAGGCACCGTGGGGCCTTAGATAACGGTGGATGTTCTAGCTGTAGAAGAGTGTGGCTGTTGGCCAGACTTTATACAAAACCCAGCACCCCAGGCACGGTCATGCTGGCATCTGAGCACATCCCCATCTCATCCCCGGTGCAGGGGAGAGGCTGGGAGTCCCGTGCCTCTCCGGTGGTCGAAGACCTCGAGGCTCCTCCTTGGTGCAAGGACCCGCTGAGAGGTGGAGTCGGGCGGCCTCCCCGGGCCAGGAGGACACTGCCACACACCATGTGCACCTTAGCTGACCTGAGCACTTGGCTGTTTCAGAGCCACTGGTGCTTTCAATCTGACTGTTCTTTGGCTCTTTCTGCTCTGGAAGAAGCAAGCAGTCCACGCGAGGAACTGGGAGGTGGGATTCTGTCGTGTCCTCGGGGGCAGGGTACAAGGTGTGGGAAGTCAGGACTGTGGGGGAGCATATGGTCACCCCCCAGGGTCATTCATCCCTGAGACTTGTTGCAGCCCTCCCACACCTAATCTCACCGTTGGTTGGCACAGAGTGTCCCCCAGAACTTTCCATATGGTCACTTTCATTCTTGTCCCCTCTAGCCCTCCGGGCAAGGCTGGGTCCCCGTTTCCTCAGTGTGTGGGAGAACCTTTTCACCCGTGCTTTTATTTTACCAGAGCCCCTGCTGGCTCTTGAGGGCCTCTGCTCCCTGCTGGTCACAGTTGGGCCTAGGCCGTGCTCAGGAGCTGCTGTGGGGGGCAAGCCCTGCACAGGCACAGGGGCTTCTCCTCGGGCTCCCACTTCCTTTTCGCTCTCACACAGCTGGAGTGATCCGAGTTGCACCTGCCCCCTCACACCCAGCATTCACAACACGGAGGCGCTGGGCCTAGCAGGGCACAGCCCTCCCTCACACAAGCTTCTCCTCCGTCAGGGGTGGGCGAAAGGGAAGCGGCTCGGCCTGTGAGAGAGAAGGACGCAGTTACCCCCACCCCTGGGATCCCCGGACTGCCGGCTCACGAGGTTTCCATGTGACCCTCTCCGTGGGTGGCTACAGGCTGAGCCCAGCGGCTCTGCACCGGCCTCCGCGCAGCGGGCAGGGGTCTGCCGACGCGTGTGTGTTGCCGAGGGGTGGGGGGCGATGAGAGAGCCAGCTGTGGGGCCTCTCACTTCATTCCAGTCACTGCCCTTTATAAATATTTATAGCAGTTCTCCTACTAAAAATAACATCCTGGAGCCCAGGGAGCAGAAAAAAAATAAATGAAAATCACCGGGAATTGGGATTGATTATCATGTGCGCCGGAGCAGAATGGAAGCCTGCGCAGGGGAGAGGCGGCGCGAGCTCGGCGCCCGGGGGTCAGCGCTCCCTCTGGCGGTCACGGGTCAGTGCGCCCCGGCCGGCCGCGGGCTGAGCGGCGGAGAACCGACCGGCTGCCGGGGGAGGAAGCGTCCGGGGCTCTCTGCTCCTCCTGCCCGCGGCCCGCCGAGGCTGCAGAGCAGCGGCATCACCCGGAGCGGCCGGAAGCCTCACCAGCGCGAGAGAAAGGAAGGAGGCTATTTTTAGCGCTGTGGCCAGGGTGTGAGTCTCTGTAAAACTGAGCAAGGCCTGAAGCTGTCTTTGCACGATACAGGGGAGAAAAATCTGTCGGTTTTTAAAGGTCAAAGGTAGGAAGGAAACTTGGGCCCCCACCCCGGGGAGTACCCCACGTGCCGGCAAGAACGCCATCAGGTCACACACACAGGAGATTCGTGCTGTTTCTTTTCTCTTTTCGACCTCCCGGAAAGTTCCTGCTGCAGAGATGAGACCTGGGCCCGAGGGGAGTGATGAAGATGCTGGTTCATGCAGGGCTGTGCACGGGGGAGGCCCTCTGGCAGCGGGGGGCGGCCCCTCCCACTTCCCACGGGCTCGGGCTCCCTTCTCCCTGCCAGGCAGTGACGTCTGGCAGCCTGCAAGCCTGGTCCAGGTGTGCAGCCGGAGGATGGACAGGAATGCGCCTCTGGGAGAGGGCCTCGCCTTCCTCGTGTCAACGCCAGCTTGCCGCATGCCCCCTGTGCAGGACAGACGCGATGTTACTCACGGGCGCCACGGAGGGCCTGAGAGCCAATGCTAACATCTGCTGGGGACGAGACAATGTCCTGCGGCGGGGCTGTTGGGATGCTTACCTTTCAGCTCCGGAGATTTCAAAGAACTGATAACACTCATGCCCCCTTTTAGGGAAAGAGGTATTCTCTTTTCTGGGGTACCTGGAGTTTTTGCAGTCGTTGCTGAGGTCACGGGGTCAGGAAATGTTTCCAGGAAAAAAAGAATTGGGTTCACAGGACAAGTTTGGAAGGTGGTGCTTTGTGGGGAAGAAGGATCTTGACTGAGGAAGGCACCGAGCTTGGAGAGGTGCCTGTGAACACTGGGTGGAAGGGAAGACAGCCTTAGCCTCAGGCGGGAGGAGGGCAGAACCTAAGGGTCTGGGAAACTGAGACACCTGAGTTTTGACACTTTTCATCTGACTCTACTGCCAGTGAGTTTCTCGTAACTCCTGACAGGGTCAGGGGGACAGCATCGGGGGACGCCACTCTGCGTCTACTTCTGGCACCAAGCTCCCAGGCCGAGGGCCTGCATTTCCTCATCTGCGTGGAGAGGGTGGGCCAGATGGCTTGGACGTGCCTTTTGCTTATCCCCAGTTCCTCTGTGCCCCGGGGAGAGGGGCTCTGGCAGGCTCCTGAGGGGCAAGTCAGCTCCTGACTCTCTCCTTGGCTGGGGCAGCCCAGGCCTGCTGTTGGGAAGGGCCTTGCCTGACTGTGCAGTGAGATTAGGTAGAGCCCTGCCCAAGCCCCGGAGGCCCTGGGCTTTCCAGGGCAGCGGGAGAATTTCTGCAGCTTGTGTGCCTCCCCTCCTAGCTCACACAATCCCTGAGTCAGTGCGGGCTCAGAGACAGCAGGCCCCACAGTGGGAGCAGAACAGAACTCCTCTAGGGCCTGATGCCCATGGCGGGTAGGGGGTGCGGGGCAGCGATCAGGAAAAGGCTGGGAGGCTGCTCCAGGGTGGGACTCCTCGGAAGGGCCCGGAGAAAGTTCCTTTTTCGGGATTGTGGGGCTGCAGCCCTGGTTCTTTGGCCTGGAAGATCTGTAATGGGGAAGGCGGCCTGACTCACACAGAAGTACAGGACGGGAGGGAAGGCAAGATCAACAAAAAGACATCTCATGGCCAAATCAAGGACATCCTTGAAAGAACTCTTCCCCTGAACCGATTTGGTTGTCCAATTATTTTCATCCCTTCTTTCTAGTGAGCAGGCCCCAAAGCCACAGTATCTCAGAACTGGGGGGAAAGAAGAGTTAAGGTCCTTAGATGGAAAGATGTGAAAGATTAATCCCTAAAGCAACGAGCACTGTCCTCTGGGGAGGTCTGTGCTTGCATTAATCGTTTTAGGATGGAGGGTACAGGTTGGCCGGCACTGCAGGGAGGGACTGGGGGGGTGCGTTATGGAGGGAGGGGGATCCTGCAGGATGGAAATTCAGTCTGCGGTCAGGTACGTGGCAGCTCACAGCTCTGGGTGTCGGAACCCCAGGGTGCTGGCAGTGGTTTGGACCCGTGGAGAGAAATGACAGTGGCCGTGGGCCATCAGGAGCAAGGTGGCAGTGGTCCCATGGCCTGTTTCAGCCAGCAGGTCTTGGTCCACTAGCTACATCCAGCCCCGGGCACCACCAAGTCATGCCTGAGACCCAGGCCAGGCCCAGTGGAGCGCAAGATGGGTTAGAGCCTGGGAAGGGGGCCAAGAGGGTCTGATGGCAGGGCTGCAGCAAAGGGGAAAGGTGGCAGCTGGTCTCTTTAAAGGGAAAACTTAACTTGAATCTTCACCCTTTAGGGTGGCTCTGGCTTGGACGATGTGACCAGGGCAAGGGAGGAGGGGGACGAAGGCATAAGCTGCAAAGGGAGAGGGACCGTGAGGAGAGAAGAGAACATGGTACTCACCTGCGCTTCCTCTCTGGCTCAGCTCCTCTGCTAACCTGTACAGCACGGACACAAACAACACACAGAAGTCACGCCTGGGGTCCCCTCACCAGCCCATGTCTTCTCTCAGGGGACTGCACAGACCCAAGGGCTTTTGGACTCGCCTCTCCCCTCGCTGCCCCGGATGCTGATTTTTCCCAAGCAGGTATGGCAAGGGCAGGGAGAGTCACGCTGCCTACAACCAGCAGCTGTTGCGAATATAAAACAGGCGTGGGGGCCGTCTCTTGGGAGAAGGAGAACAATAGTACTAACACGGACGTGAAGCCACCCTAAGTCTGGGGAGCGGTTATATCGGGGGCATAGCCCATCCCTTGGTTCTGAAAGTGACGAAGGTGAGAAGGAATTAAATTTTGATATGGTCAGTATCTCCTGCCTGCAGGCATATCTGCTTGAGAATACTAAACCACTCCCGCTCACCCTGAAATCCTGAACACTGCCCGCACCCTCAAACGCCTGAGGAGTCCCACAGGGCCACTGCCGTCAGTCTACCAGATAGGCACCAGCGCTCTCGGAGCATGCAAGCTGGATTTACAGCTCCCAACACCGTGGGTGGCAGGTTCTGGAGAGGCAATTCTGAAGGGCAGAGGAGCATAAGATGAGGCTCTGGAGGGGCTGAGATGAATTTCGGGCTCTGCCGTAATATGTTAGTCTGTTTCATCTACGTAGTCTTGGATACAAGTACTCGGCACTCCAGGTGAGCAGTGAGGGGTGGCAAAGTCAGAGGGGGCACCCCAGGGGAGAAGTATTCCCCAGGATGCAGCCAGACGGAGATCCAGGGGAGGGCAGAGAGGGGGCTGAGGTAAGGGTGAATGTGGTCAGGAAGTCCAGCTCGGTCATGAATTCTTCGAAAGTGCCCATTTGGTTCTTATGGTTTTTGCACTGAGCAGACTACGTATGCCTGACAGGGTGCTGAGCAGGTTGTGTTGATGTGAGGTCAGCATGATTTCAACCCTGAAGCAGCAAACCAGCGCTCTGTCTATGGCTGGTAGTTAACTGTTCTCTGATGCCTTGGTGACACCAGTTGCCACCATATTGGTCTATAGTAAGAGCAAATGCCCAGACCACAGCTGACAATCAGAAGGTCCATTCATAAAAACACTTGGGTTATACCCCTACCCACATACCCACTACGGTACAGCTACAAAAACATATCCTGGGACCTGTACAATGCTGAGAGTCAAACATTTGTTTAAAACCCTATCCATGTCTCACCCCAACTCTTAACACTCCCTCCGGACAGCACCTAAAGCCACAGAAACAGAAACTCAGGGGCTCTCACAGGGACAGACAGAAATGCTCATTTATGCACTGGAAGAGAGATGGAGAGACACGGAGAGCAGGAGGGAAAGAAAAGAGATACTGGCAGGGAACACGGGTGCAGACAGAGGCCCCTGAGACCAGGAGGTGTCGGGTGAGGGAAGCCATGTCCGTCCTCCATGTGCTGCAAAGAATGCAGGGAGGCTGAGAGGAAGCTCTGGGAAAAGCTACAGGGAAAGAAGGGTGAAAGGGAAGAGAGACCAAAGCAGCAGCTTAGTTACGTCTTCAGCAGAGAACATTCCACATGAACGCGGGGATCTGGCTGGGTTGTGCGTGTGTGCGCGTGTATGACTGGAGCACAAGTTGATGGAGTGTAAACTTATCCCCATGCATCTCCTCCCCTCTTTGCCTCTTGCACAACAACCCTCCTGCCTTCTTCCTGGTCCACTCTCAGCCCCAAAGATTGGTCCTCTCTACCATACCCTGTAGCCCTGCTAGATATCTCCAGCATGGAGAGGAGCACCTCGACTTCTGACATTTTGGTGGCCATGCCAAATATGTCATTCTCTTCAATTCCTCGCAGTTACCGTCCATGGCCTTGCAGGCCTCGCTCTGACTCACTAGACAACCATGGCATCTGGACTATGTCTCTCCTCCCCTCCCAGGCTCCTCCTCCAGACTCAGAGTCCTGACGGGGCTTGGCTCTCTTACCCACGACAGCCCCTGTGGGCAGCGGTGCTACAGACCCTCATCCCCACGTGTTCTCCTTTCCCGTCACAGCTGCTTGGCTTGCAGCTCCCACTCAACTTCTTCCCACCCTTCCTTATGACTTTCCTCACCTGCCTAGTCTACCTGCCGCTCAGAAGAAAGCGTGGGCGCTGTCGTCGGCTGCCCGGGCAGAATCCCGGCTCTGCCCACTACTCCCGTGCAGGTTCCTGTACCACCCGGAGCCCCGTCTCGAATCTTTCCTTGTGGGCGATGAATGCAGACCGAAGGGGTGAGCTCAGAGCAGAGCATCCAGCCGGGGCGGGGGGAGTGGGCGCACCTTCCCCAGCCCAGCCTCCTCCGGGTGGCTCCCACTCTCTCCCAGACAAAGCACTCCAGCACATCACCTGGCTTCTTTCCCTGTATTTGTTCATCTGCTGATACCCTGCTCTGTGCCAGGCACCGTTCTGGGCACTGAGGATACATCCTGAACAAGAGAGACCAAAATCTCCACCTTGTGGAGCTCGCATTTTGGAGGAGTCTGGAAACAGACATTAATACCGGACAGATACAACAGCTAGCTCTCAAACGTTCTGTGTTCAGCATGACACAGACACACGAAGATGGAGAGTGTGTAGTGTGGCGTCAGAAAGACCCAGTTCAAAGAGCCTACTTTCTCACTTGTAAAATCGGGACATCATTATGCATCTCCGAGGGTTGTTAAGTATTAATTAGATAATACACGGACATCGTTTAGCACAGCTCTTTGTACATAACAAGTTATTAGGCACGTTTTATGCACAATAAAACTAGGAAGGCATTACTCTCCTCGGCTGATACCTTTCTTTATTGCTTTTAATTCTTCCGTTGAGGTCACAAAACCATTTAGCTATTCTGCCCACAATAATCTCTTCCTTTTCAGAAACCCTTCTCGCGTTTGTAATCACACACTCAGAGTTTGATGATTAACTTTTGCTGCCACTTCATTTTATCTCCTATTTATTTTGCATATCTCTGTCTTGCCTCCCTAACTATATTATAAACTCCTGGAGGCAAAGGGTCAGGTCGGGTGCTTTCCTGGTATCTACTTCCTACGTCCGAACCCTCTATCACAGTGTTAGGAAGTCAGGAGGCTTTTGTGGATCGCCTGAGGCCACCACCTCCTTGATGGTCAGTTGGGAAAAGCAGGCCGAAGGCCCTTTTGGGGGCCTGGAAGCTTTGGGGAAACGGGCAGCAGGAAGAAAAGCAGAAACAAAAGGGGGGAGCGTTCCCTCAGGAGCGATGTAGCTCTGCCTCCCACTCCAACTAGGGGTCCTGCGAGCTCCCTTTACCTCTGTCCTTCCCATCCTGCTGCTTCTCCTCTTCTTCCTCTGCACCTTCCTCTGCTGTGAAAACAAGTCCAAGGTGGCCAGTGACCCTTCAGCACAGCACAAGCATAGGAGGAGGGCGAAGGGAACGACTTAGCAGGCTTGGGATGAAGCCCAGCTCAAGGCTCGGGGTCACAGGACTCCAAGGGTGCGGACACGCACCCGGCCTGCCCCGTGCGCGGCACACATGCTGCTGCTCTTTACCCACGAGCTCTGAGCCCCCGGGGCAGCGCAGGCTGAGAGGTCACCCGTCCTGCCGCAAGCTCTGTGGCTGGCTTCCCTGGTGACTGGGGTGGGGGTCGCTGCCTTTGCTCGATGCCTGCTTTCCCGAAGGTGACCACATCGACTAGGGATGCGCCTAACATCCTGCATCCCGGTTCAAGAAAGCAACTGTCAGAGTACATGGTCAGGAATAACTAGATTAACACCAGCTTCTGTTAAGAGAAGACAACCCAAAACCAGAAGTTTTAGCTGACAACAAACTTAAAGTGACTGAACGGCAAAGTGGCTGTGTGGAAAAAGCTAACGCCCTCGCAGGTTGCTTTCCCAGGGCCCTCGCTCAGGGAGGCTACAGGTCACTGTGCTCCACAGGGAGCTGGTCCCCCGTCATAGGGAGAAGTGTGCTCAGCTCTGGGAACTCACTTTGAATTGGGGCCTTGATGCTCTTGGCCACATCCTAACGTGGGCAAGAAAACGGTGAAGTGAAAAGCACGTCACATTAAGAATGGCTGAAGGAACAGCAAACAGTCACCTTTAAGAGGAGAAGGCTTGGGGACAGTCATGCTTCCTGTCATCGAATACTGGAAAGCCTAAATGAACAGGAACCGGAGGGCCAAAATCTACTCTGCGTAGCTTCAGACGATGGGATGAGGACAAACTGCTTACAGAAAGGCAAAGTGTGGCTCCTTGATAAGGAAGAACTTCACGGTGATGAGAGCGGGTCATGAGTGAGCTCGCTGGAAATATTCCGAGGACTTTTATATTGGGCAGCTAGCTGATTAAATGACTTCTAGGATCTTTTCCAACCCTAAGATTCTATTATTTGTGAAAATAGTTTTAAAAAGATGAGGAGGAGCAGCTTTGGCTATAAATAGTATGTGCACATGGGACGGAAAATATTTAAAGACAATCTGAGTATCTCACCTCATCCTAACACAACCCCCAATAAAGAGAGTAAACATGCGTGGGTGCTGGGCGGGCCCCTTCCATTCATCCAGAAACTGGCAGCCTCACACGTAAGGGGCATCTAGCTCTGCAGTTTGTGTGGGTGCAGTGTCATGTGTAGACTTAGTCCACACCTACCCGTGGACTTCAGGGCTTGAGAGAGCAGAGCATCAGTGAAAGGGGCCCTCGTGGGGCTGCGAACCTGACCTCCAGTCCTGTGTGGGCAGAAGGGCACTGTGGCAGCAAGAGCACTGCTGTGTGTCCTCCACACCTGAGTTCTAGGACTGGCCTTTGCCCCTTCAAGATGCACAACTTCAGGCAATTGGTTTTCTGATAATCACTCACTGCCGTTCCAAAGAGGACTTGACAACGTGATCTCTAAGGTACGTTCTGAAGACATCACAGAACTGTGTTAAAACCATCCTTTCCTGCCACGAGAGACTGCCTATAACCTTTTACATTTTTGTGAATATATTTGGTCTCTGGGTGCTGTGTGTTTGATGGTGTCCAGTTATCTCTCCTCCTAGTGTGATGGGTTCATGAGCTACTGATCTTGGCCAAATCCCAGTAAGTGTTCGGGAGGCACAGTGTGATTAATTTCCACGGCCTGAAATTCCTTCTAAAAGTTGGATTTCTGGCAACTGTGGGAAACTATCTTATGGAATGGACTTTCTAATCACCTGTGAAGTCATCTCAAAGGCAGTCACCTCTTCTACTTATGTGTGATTGTGGGGAGGGCAGTGCTTCTGACAAGGACTGAGAAATGGAAGGGGCGCCTGGGTGGCTCAGTCATTGAGCATCTACCTCCGGCTCAGGTCATGATCCCAGACTCCTGGGATGGAGCCCTGTATCGGGCTCCCTGCTTTGCAGGAAGTCTGCTTCTTCCTCTACCTCTCCCCCTGCTTGTGTTCCCTCTCTCGCTGTCCCTCTCTGCCAAATAAATAAATTAAAAAAAAAAAAAAAAAAAGGATTGAGAAATGGTACCAGAACAGAGGCAGTATCCCCTTCACACTCCCTGCAAGGGAGAACCAGCATCTTATCTTAACTGACTTGGGAAAACCAACCCAGGCCATGCACTTACTCTAAGTGGAAATCAGCAGGTTTGAGGGGGAACCACGGGCCAGCCGTAGGTATACGCTTTCTCCTTCAAAGGTCTGAGGACATACCTGAGGCTTCCCTGCCCTCAGAGTGGGGACTGATGATTTCAGTGGCTGTGTTTGAACAGCCCATGGAAAACCTGCTTTACATTTTTATTTAATAGCTTTGCTAAGCGACTCCAAGGCATTTAAAAGCACTATATTAGCTGAAAAGAAACAACAGAGGGCCATGGGTATACTCAGGGAGAGAACCTGTCTGTCTAATAGGGAACATGGGAATCTGACCACTGTAAACAAATTAGTAAACATCTGGCAGTTACAAAGCTAAGGGACTCATGGGCATTCTTGACAATATGACGATAGGGGAACTGCCTTTTATGATTTCTCTCTTTCCTGGGTTTTACATAAAGGGAAAAATACGGTGAGGGTCTCCGGACAGTCACTGAAAAAGCTAAGCGCGGGAGGGACGAGGAAGGAGCCGCACTGACCACCGAACAGAGGGCGAAGAGCGACAGACGCAGGTGACAGCTTCAGTGAGACCAGAGCCTAGTCACCGACAAAAGGAGAGAAGAGGGTTTCAAGATCAAGTCAAATGGGAGAGAGCAGAAAGGCAGCTCGAGAACATCCAGAAGCTTTTGTGGCCGATTGGGTCTGGTCATCCAGGAAAGCTTCCGCGCGAGGCTGAGGCTGCGAGCAGCGCTGGGGAAAGAGCGGCTGTGGCCCGCGCGCAGGGTGGGGGGTCGCGGGTCTGGGGGCGCAGGGGCAGGGCGGGGGTTGGGCCGCGCTCGTGCTACAGGGCGGAGCCTGCAGAGAAACAGAACGTGAGCGCGTGCGTGACCTCGAGCGGGGCGGGCGCGGTCCGCGGGAGGCCGTCGGGGCGCTCCTGGAAGGCGGAAAGACGGAGCGGTGAGCGCAAGCGGAGCGGCTGCGGCCGAACATTGGAGCACGCGGGTGCAAGTGAGGAGGGCGCGGGGACGCGAGGGGGCGCGGGAGGCCGGGCGGGAGCTCTGGGCTTCACCTGAGTGGAGCTCCTTCACCAGGGACGACATGGTGTTGGTGATGGAGTCCGCGGCCACCAGCAGGTCATTGCGGAGGTTTCTCCTCGTACCTGAGGGCAGTCAGAGCAGACGGCGGGGCCGCGTGAGGCCCCCAAGGCCTCGTCCTCCTCCCTCTTCTCTCCCTGAAGAGCGGGACCCTGTGGGCTGTGCGCTTCCCGGCCGCAGTCCGGAGACTTGGATTCCAGAACCAACAGCGCTGGGAGGGTGGGCTGGGGGGGCCCGAGGCAGGACTGGACTCCGCGGGGCTCCACGAGCCTGTTCCGTCTCTGCCCAGAGGACACTCGCTCAGCCGCCGCGGCCTCCCCGCCTCCGTGACACGGCGGCCGCCGGCTGGTCACACGGGTGGCAGCACGGTCCTGTGGGCAGTCCCACTCTTCCTCCTTTTACTCCCTCTCCAGATTTCCAGGCAGAGCACGACTTCGGGAACTGTTCCATCTGATTCCTCCAGAGCAGGCGGCAAAGCCCAAAGGACAAGTCACGTCCCTAAACCCGGGGGGGGGGGGGAAGGGCACGGAAGCCGCGGAGGCCTGGTCTTCACAAACAGAGCCTGCAGCCCCCCGCCGGGACAGCAGCCAGTCTGGTGACGAGGGACCAGCACCTGACCCTACACCGTCTGTGGAAGTCCGATCACTGCAAGCTACCCACGCAAAAGAAAAGAACCTGGAACAATCTCGGCAGGGATCTTGTTGGCACTGCCAGACCCCTCTAGCTCTGCCCTGTATCCTGCCCCCAAAGCTCACCTTGGGCAAAGGCCTCCTGCAGGTCTCCCCCGACTCCGCTCAGCGGGTCCTGCGGGCAGTGCGTGGGAGTGGAGCCGGCGGACGTGGAGCGCACGGGCATGGGCATCGGGCGGCCGCCTCCGTGCGTGGGCGACGTGTGCGGTGACCCTGTGGCCTGAGCCTGGGAGAATCAGAGAGATGCAACATGTTATCTCGGGCAGCTTCCCTCTTTGAGGAAGGGGAAAAGCCTTTTTCTCAGTCAGTCAAAGCCCAGCGACACAGCTGCGGTTCACACAGTGGGGGCAGTGCCCTGCAGGATCACCTTTGAGTCAGGCTGCCTCCGGGACTGCGGAGAGGAAGAAAAGGAAAAAAAGAAAGGAAGGTGGGGAGGGAGAAGGAGAGAGGATACCATCAGACTGGACTAAAAGTGGGAGGGAAAGTAGAGGCTAGCACAGGGGTGGGAGGGGTGCCTTGCGGGTACACTGAGCAGGTCCAGGATCTGAGCGGGGTTGGGCCACGCAGTTGAGAAATGATATACAAACATCTTCCTTTTCTTTTCTTTTTCTTTTTTTTTTTTTTGCAAACACATTTATGTACGTTATCTCATTTGACCCTCATAACAACTTGTGAATAGAAAGGGCGTACATTTTGGTACCCATTTTATGGAAGAAAAACACGATGAAAAGAGTAAGAGCTTTGTGTCAAGCAACACAGCTCATAGAGATGTGGGAATAACCCCATCTCCTCCACAGGCAATGACGGGCACCCTGCACCCCTGCAGCCCCCAGACCACCGCAACCATGCGCCCAAGCATGTGTCAGGAGCTTGGCCACAGGCTGTGTCCCAGGGGCCGGGTCACTGCACTTCTCAAACGCACAGTGAAGCCTTTCAGAGCATTCCATGAGGACTAAGTGAGAAGGGACACATGTTTAGTGGAAACTGAACTTTCCTTGTGAAGGCTCTGTTACAGTTTTGGAGAAAGCTTGGAGTCATGGGATAACACTGAAAGATTCTAGTTAAAGGGAGCTCCCTGAGATTTGGGCCCTGCTGCCCTTCAGAGCAAGGGAAACTGGGTGTGGTGTACAGTGGGTTTTCTGTGGAAACGAAACTGGGAAAACATAAGCCAAAGTGTGCAAATGAGTTAAACAAAGAGATTTATCTTTTGGGGTTCTAGCTCAGAAACTCCCCACACAACAGTATCTGCCCCAAGTGTGCTGACAGCTTATCTGCACAAAGCCTTACCTCAATGCTTCAGGCAGTGTGGGCGCTGCACTCACCAGAAATGATTTGTTCTCCATGACTCTTAACTTTGATTTGCAGGAGTACATGTATGTATATTTTGAGAAATTTAAAATATATAGGAAGATAAAAAGTCTAACATAATAAAGCACCCCCATTGATAATTGCTCATATTTTGTCAAGGTCAACCTAAAAATATTGCAGATAAGTGTGAAGACCCTTTTGACCACCAATCCTGTCCAATCCCAGTCCCTCCTCTTACGCCTTCAGAGGCAATGATTATCAAATATTTTGGGGTGAATTTTTTTTTACCTGTGTGTACATATATAACTACAAATAATCTATGATATTCATGCTTTGAAATTTTACATGAATGGTATCATACCATGCATATCATTTTGGAATTTGTTTTTATCACTTAACATACTTTCTGAGATCTTCCCATGATACAAATGACAGGAACTTTGACCCTTACCTCACATTATATACCAAAACTAACTCAAAAGGGACATACCAAATATAAGAACTAACCCATAAAAACTCTTAGAAGAAAAGATTAGGTGACAGCTTTTTAGATATGACACATAAAGTACAAGCTACAAAAGAAAATAAACTGGATTTCATCAAAATTGAAAAATTTTTCAAAGGCCACCTTAGGAAGGTGAAAAGACAACTCAAAGAATGGGAGCACATTTTTGCAAATCATCTATCAGATGAGGGGCTTGTATCTAGAATACGGAAAGAACTCTTAACACTCAATAATAAAAGGATAAGTAACCTAATAAAAATGGATAAAGGGCCTGAAAAGATGTTTCTCCAAAGAAGACATACAAATGTCCAATAAGCACATGAAAAAAATGCTTGACAACATGAACCATCAGGGAGATGCAAATCAAAACCACAATGAAACACCACTTCACACCCACTCGGATGGCTACAATAAAAAGACAGATAATAACAAGTGTTGCTAAGGATGTGGAACATCCTTGCGTGCTTGCATGCTGTTGGTAGGAACAGAAAATGGTGCATTCCTGTTGCTTTAGAAAGCAGTCTGGCAGTTCCTCAGCAAGATTAAACATGGAGTGCTATTTGACCCAGCAATTCCACTTCTACGTGTACATACCTGAAAACATAGGTCTACACAAAAATTTGTACACAAGTGTTCATAGCAGCATTACCTGTAACAGTTGAAAAGTGGAAACAATCCAAGGGCCCATCAACGGATGAATGATTTAAATAAAAATGCTCGATACAGTTGACCGTTGAACAACATGGATTTGAACTGCACAGTCCACTTAAATGTGGATTTTATAAAGAAATACAGTCCAGCCCTGTATATGTATTTTCTTTATGATTTTCTTCAACATTTTCTTTTCTCTGGCTCACTTTATTGTAAGAATACATATAGTACATATAACACAAAATATGTGTTAACTGACTATTTTATGGGTAAGGCTTCTGGTCAAGAGTAGGCTATTATTAATTACGTTTAGGGGGAGTCAAGAGTTATAGACAGATTTCTGACTGTGCAGGAGGTCAGTATCCCTCACATCCCCACCACTGTCCAAGGGTCAGCCAAATAGGATTTGGCACATAAAGGAATGAAGTATGGATGCATGCTACAAAGTGGACAAAACCTGAAGAGATTATACTAAGTGAAATAAGCCAGTTACAAAAGACAGAATATTGTTTGATTACATTTATATGAAATGTCTACAATAGGAAAATCCATAGAGACAGAAAGTAGAGTAGTGGTTGCCTGGGGATAGGGGCCTGGGAGAAATGAGGAGTGAGTGCTAGTGGGTATGGGATTCTTTCAGAGGGCGATGAAATGTTCTAAAGTTGACTGTGGTGATTGTTGCACAATTCTGTGAATATAGTAAAAACAACTGTATTTTAGGCTTCAAAATGGTGAATTCTATATAGTATGTGAACTGTATCTCAATAAAACTGTTATTAAAAAGATACCACTAAGAAAAATAAAAAGATAAGTCATAGACTGGAAAAACATATTTATAAATTATATCCGATAAAATTGTGGGTCTTTGTAATGATTTTTTTTTAATTTGACACCAAAAAGCAAAGGAAACGAAACCAAAAATAAACAAGTGGGACTACATCAGAAGTAAAAAGCTTCTGTATAGTGAGGAAACCATCAACAAAATGAAAAGCAACCTGCCAAATGGGACAAAATAGCACCTATAATAAGCAGTTAACATCCAAAATACATATACAAAATATACAAACCAATAGCAAAAACAGACAACAAAAAACCCCAATCTAATTTAAAAAATGGATGGAGAAGGGGCGCTTGGGTGGCTCAGTAGGTTAAGCATCTGCCTTCAGCTCAGATCATGATCCCAGGGTCCTGGGATCGAGCCCCACATTGGGCTCCCTGTTCATTGAGGAGCCTGCTTCTCTCTCTCCCACTCACCCTGCTTGTGCTCAATCTCTCTGTCAAATAAAGAAATAAAATCTTAAAAAAAATGGACAGAGGAACCAGGCATTTCCCCAAAGTTATACAAATGGCCAACATGTGTATGAAAAGGTACTCAAAAGTCATGAATTATCAGGGAAACACAAATCAAAGCCACAATGAGATATCACTTCATACCTGTGAGGATGTTATCAAAATGATAAGAGATACACAGTGGTGAAGATATGCAGAAAAGGGAACCCTGTGTACTACTGGTGGGAAGGTAACCTGGGGCAGTCACTACAGAAAACAGTATAGAAGTTCTTCAAAAGATTAAAAGAAAATGAAAACAGGATCTAGAAGAAATATCTGCATCCCCACGTTCACTGCAGCACTATTCACAGTAGCTAAGATATGGAAACAATCTAAGGGTCCATCCCAGATAAATGGCCAAACAAGAGGTGGCATATATGTACAATGGAATATTACCCAACCATGAGAAAGAATGTCCTGTTGTTTGCGACAATATGGATGGACCTTGAGGGCATTACACTAAGTAAAATAAGCCAGACAGAGAAAGACAAATATTGCATGATCTCACTTATACGTGGAAGCTAAAAAGAGTCAGACTCATAGAAACAGAGAGTAGAAAAGTAGTTGGGGCCAAGGGTCAGGGGAAATAGGAAAAGGTTGGAAAAAGGGTACAGACTTTCAGCTCTAAGATACATAAGGTCGGAGGATGTAATGTAAAGCATGTCAACTATAGCTGGTAACACTACTGTCTAGCTGAAATCGGCGAAGAAGGTAAAACTTTAATGTTCTCACACACACGAAAAGATAAATATGTGAGGTGATGGATATATTAATTACCTAGATGGAATCCTTTCACCACGTGTGTGTGTATCGAGTCACCCCAATATCCCTTTAAATATCTTACAAGTTCATAGGTCAAGAGAGCAGAAATGGAAAAAAAAAAAAGAGAATAAACAAACAAAAAACAAACTTGTGTCCAGAACATATAAAGAACTCTTAGAGCTGAATAATAAGATAACCCACTGTGAAACAGGCAAAGTTTGACTAGATGGTTCACTGAAGATGACGTACAAATGGGCCAATAATCACATGACAAAGGCGCAAAAGAGGAGCCAATAGGGAAATGAAAATTGAAATGATGATGAGATATCACTTATCTACTGAAACAGTGACAACCAAAAAGACTAACAGACGTGGGAAAACCGAAACTCTTATACATGGCTGATGGGACTGTAAAATGCCACAGCTACTTTGGAGAACAGTTTGGCAGGTTCTTAAAATGGTAACGTAAACCTACCATATAACCCAGCAACCTCACTCCTGGGAATGGGCCCTAGAAAAATGAAAACATATGCCCACCCAAACCTGTACACAATGCTCATGAGCTACACCCTAATAGGCCCAAAGTGGAAAAAACCAAAAGTTGACTGACTGGTGAGTCGATGGACGGAATGTGGTTGATCCATAAAATGGAGGACTGTGACGTCTCTTTG